ACTCAACCACTGAGCCACCCAAGTGCCCCAAATAGTACAATTTAAATATGTGCGATTTATTGTGTATCAATTACACTTCAATAAAGTTGCTTTTAAAAATGGCTTGCCTTTCTGTACATGTTTGGATTCCTCTATGAGAAGGTATAACAGAATCTCAGTTTGCAAACTGTGATAGTCAATTTTATGTATCAACTATTTTTCAATCAAACGCTAATCCTGGTATTGCTGGAAAGGGGTTTTCCAGGTAAGATTAACACCTACAATCAGTTGATTTTATGAAAAGGAGATTATCCTGGATAATATGGCAGGCCCAATCCAACCAGTTGAAAGGCATTAAGAATGGAACTGAAGTTTCCCTGAGGAAGAAGAAATTCTGCCAGTGGACTGCAGCTTTAGCTCCTGCCAGGGCCCCAGCCTGCCAGCCTACGGACCTCAAACTTACCTACCCAGCCTTCAATCACATAAGCTAAGTGCTTACAATAAATCTCTTTATATATATAATATATTATACATATGATCTACTAGGATCTCATATTATCCTATTGATCCTATATTATCAATAATTATATATAGATTTATGTATCATATGTATTATACATGATGCTGGTTCTGAATAGAAGATATATATATATATATAGAGAGAGAGAGAGAGATTGCCTTTTCTTTTTTTTTTTTTTGAGACTTTTTCTTTAAGAAAGGATTGAAATACACTCCTACTGTACCCCCTTCCTCTCTTGCAACTCCTGCCTATGTTTGTGTGGATTCCCTAATCCCCAGAACCACACTGAGATGGACACATTGTCTGTAAACCCCTGGGTAACTGTCAAGTTATGATCCAGACTTCAGGTTGTTCTGTTGTTCTGTATAAAATGCAAAATAAATGTTTTTATTAACAATGGAAAAAATTTTTGCAAGCACTTGGCATATATAAATATAAATATATATTTTTTTCCCTATTTCTGGCTTAGTTCTTTTTTCCTGGTACAATAAATTAGCCCTAAATGACCATAGTCACATTACCTTCCCAGTCTGCAATTATGGCCTCAGGGAGAGTTCCCTATGACCAGCTGACTGAGGAACAGTCCCTCAGGATGAGTTTATAGATGGTTCTACACAATATGCAGGCACCACCGAAAAGTGGACAGCTATAGCACTATAGCCCCTTTCTAGGACATCCCAGAAGAACAGTGGTGAAGAACTTTGAGCAGAGTACCTGCTCATTCATTTTGTCTGCAAAAGACATGGCCAGAGGCTTAAGTCTATACTGATTAATGAGCTGTGGCCAGTGGTTTGGCTGGATAGTTAGGGACTTGGAACATGATTGGAAAACTGGTGACAGGAAACCTAGTAGTATAGACCTCTCTGAATGGGCAAAGAATGTAAAGATATTTGTATCTTACGTGAATGCTCACCAAAGGGTAACCTCTGCAGAAGAGGATTTTTAATAATCAAGTGGATAGGATGACCTCTTCTGTGGATACAAGTCAACCTCTTTCCCTAGCCACCCTTGTCATTGTCCATTGGCTTATGAACATAGCAGCCAGTAGCAGGGATGGAGGTTATATATGGGCTGAGTAACATGGACTTCTACCCACCACAGTCAATCTGGCTGCAGCCAATGCTGAGTGCCTGATCTGCCAGCAGTAGAGCCCAAAACTGAGAGCCAGCACCATTCCCTGGGGTGATAAGCCAGCTACCTCATGGCAGGTTGATTACATTGGATTACTTCCATCATGGAAGGGATAGTGCTTTGCTCTTCATGAAACAGACACTTATTCTGGATATGGATTTGCTTTCCTTGCATATAATGCTTCTGCCAAAACTACCATCTGTGGACTTCCAGATCCACCGTCATGGTATTCCAAACAGCATTGCTTCTAATCAAAGAACTCACTTCACAGCAAATGAAGTACAGCAATGGATCCATGTCCATGGAATTTACTGGTCTTATCATGTTACCCCATTATCCTGAAATAGCCAGCTTGTTATAAAGGTTGAATAGCCTTTTGAAGATCTAGTAGACAATACTTTGCAGGACTGTAGCAATGTACTTCAGGATACTATATATGTTCTATATCAGCATTTCAGGTATGGTGCTGTTTCTCCCACAGCTAGGATTCATGCTTCCAGGAATTAAGGAGTGGAAATGAAACGTTACTATTCACTAGTAGTAACACCCAGTGACCCACTAGTACAATTTTTCTTCCCATCCTTGCGTTATGCTCTGCTGGTCTATAAGTCTTCGTGCCAAAGGGAAGAGTACTTTTCCCAGAAGACATGATTCCATTGAATTGGAAGTTAGGACTGCCACCCCAGCTCCTCATGCCTCTGAATCAACAAACCAAGGAGGGAGTTACTGTACTAGCTGGGGTGGTTGATTCTGACCACCAAGGGGAAATTGGGATTCTACTACATAATGGAGGTAAGGAAAAGTATGTCTGGAATATAAGAGAGCCTTAAGGCATCTACTGGTACTACCATGTCCTGTGATTAAAACCAAAGGGAAACTGTAACAACCCAATTTAAGCCAAAACTTCTAAAGGCACAGACCTTTCAAGAATGAAGGTTTGGGGGCATTCTGTTAGGAAAAGAACCACAACCAGCACTAAGGTGCTTGCTGAGGGCAAAGGAAATATGTAATCAGTAGTAGAAGAAGGTAGTTATAAATACCACCTATGACCACCCAGCCAACTGCAGGAAGGGGGACTATGAGTATTCATTCCTTATTTTATTATAAATTTATTTCTGTGTATTTTTCCCTCTCTTATCCCCCTTGTATTCTAACATAAAACATATTAATAGTTAACTTTACCTTAAATTATTGAAGTTACAGGATTATCAAGGAGAAGAGTGAACATCACCCAAAGACTCTGAATTCTCTTTGGAGAAAAGGTTAGCACATTTTCAGTTGTACTAGGGTAATTGCGTCATGTTAGGTGGCAGTATAACTTTGTTATTGTTTTTACTTGGAAGTTAAGTATAGTTTAAGGAGATGCATATGGGTGCTGGGTTGACCGGATGTGGACTAAAATGATCAGTTACATGTGTTAACTTGGCTAGGCTATATATAATACCTAGATATTCAACCAAATGCTAATGTAGGTGTTACTGTGAAATTATTTTGAGATGTGATTAATATCTATAATCAGTTAACATTATATAAAGGAGATTGTTTTAGATAATCTGAGTGGTCCAACTTCTAACCAGTTTAAAGGCCTGAGGTTTCCCTGAAGAATTCTACCTGTGTACTGCAGTGTCAGCTCCCACCTGAGCTTCCATCCTGACCTTTCTTACAGACTGCACTAATATTCCCAGACTTGCCAACCTGCCCCCACAACCGAGTAAGCCAACTCTGGTAATAAATTAGATAGATTAGATGGATGGATAAATGGATGGATAGATAGATGATAGATAGATAGATAGATAGATAGATAGATAGATAGATGATAAACAGATATCCTTCCTACTGGTTATGTTTCTCCGGTGGAACTGTAACATAAACCACCTAAAAAAATGTATTGCAGGGATCCCTGGGTGGCGCAGTGGTTTGGCGCCTGCCTTTGGCCCAGGGCGCGATCCTGGAGACCCAGGATCGAATCCCACGTCAGGCTCCCGGTGCATGGAGCCTGCTTCTCCCTCTGCCTGTGTCTCTGCCTCTCTCTCTATCATAAATAAATAAAAATTTAAAAAAATGTATTGCATCTCCAAGAGTCAGAGCTTGTTTTTGACCCAAAAGGGATGAGGCATGATCCCCAGAACTCCTAGGCAAATCCCAGTTCAAAAGAGTATCCTGATGAAGGAGTGAATTAAGCAGGTCAGGGCAACGCACCTAGATCAGTGTTCTTTTAGGGCATGTGTTCAGATATCTTAGTCCTTCCATGGGTGTTAAACTATACACAATACATTGGAATATTGCATAGCCACTTAAAAATACACTTTTTAGGAGCACCTGACTGGCTTAGTCAGTTAGGCTCAGTCTTCAGCTCACGTCATGGTTTCGGGGTCCTGGTATCCAGCCCCACATCAGGCTCCCTACTCAGCAGGAGGTCTGTTTCTCCCTGCGCCTCTTCCCCCTGCTTGTGCTCTCTGGCTCTGTCAAATAAATGGATTAAATCTTTAAAAAAAAAACACTTTTTATCAACTTTCTCTGAAAGAGGAATATAAAATACATCATTAATTGTTTCTAAGGAGGGAAACCCAGTTAGTGCTGGGGGACAGAAGTGGGAGAATTTTCACTTTTTCTACTTTGAAATATTTTTTTAAAGACTTATTTATTTGAGAGAGAAAGAGAGAGAGCAAGTAGAGGTGAAGGTGATGAGCTGAGGGAGAGAGAGAATCCCAAGCAGACTCCCTGCTGAGCATCCCCTCTGATGTGGGGCTCAATCTTTCCACTCTGGGACCATGACCGGAGCCAAAACCAAGAGTTGAACACCAATTAAGTGTTAATTAACACTCAATAAAACGGGATCCCTGGGTGGCGCAGTGGTTTGGCGCCTGCCTTTGGCCGAGGGCGCGATCCTGGAGACCTGGGATCGAATCCCACGTCGGGCTCCCGGTGCACGGAGCCTGCTTCTCCCTCTGCCTGTGTCTCTGCCTCTCTCTCTGTGTGTGTGTGACTATCATAAATAAATAAAAATTAAAAAAAACACTCAATAAACCAATGTTCAATTGAGTTAATTGAACACTCAATTAACCAATTGAGTCACCCAGGCACCCCTACCTTTGGAATATTGAATCATGTAAATGTATCATCTAGACTAGGGATTGGCAAACTATGGTTCACAGGTCAAATCTGGCCCACTGTCTGTTTAAAATTCTATTGGAGGGGAACCGGAGTGGCTCAGTGGTTGAGTGTCTGCCTTTGGCTCAGGTCATGATCCCTGGGTCCTGGGATCGAGCCCCGCATCAGGGTCCCCACAGGGAGCCTCCTTCTCCCTCTGCCTATGTCTCTGCCTCTCTCTCTGTGTGTGTCTCTCATGAATAAATAAAATTTTAAAAAATTAAAATTAAAAAATACAGTTTTATTGGAACACATACATGCTCATTTTTTAATATATTGCCTATGGCAGCTTTTATTCTACAATGGCAGAGTTCAGCAGTTGTGACAACTGTATACACGATGTCATATGGCCCATAAAGCCTAAAATACTTAGTATCTGACCATTTACAGAAAAAAAGCCCATTTCAATGGAGATTTTTTTAAAATAGAAAGGCAAATTGGCATTAAAAAAATAAAAGATGCCCCAAGAGAATTAAAAACATACACATGAATGTTCATAGAAGCACTGTTCACAATAGCCAACAAGCAGAAACAAGCCAAATGTCCCTCAATTGATGCATAAACAAAATGTGATATGTTCATATGATGGAACATTACTTGGCCAGAAAAAAACAATGCAGTGCTGATAAACGCTACAACACAGATGAGCCTTGAAAACATTATGCTAAGTGAAAGACACCAGACACAAAAAGCCACATTTGTAGGATTTCATTTACGTGGAAGTCCAGAATAGACAAATTAAAAAAGACAGGAAGTAGATGAGTGGTTTCCAGGGGCTAGGGGGAAAGAGGAATAAGGAGTGACCACAAATGGGTACAAAGTTTCTTTGGGAGTCCAGGAATTAGATAGTGGTGATGGTTGCACAACTTTGAAAATGCTAAAAGCCACTGAATTGGGGGTGCTTAGGTGGCTCAGTGCCAAATCTGCTTCAGACTCTCCCTCTCCCTACTCATTCATACTCACACTCTCTCTCGAATATTTTTTTTTTTAAGAAACCAAAACACTGAATTGTATGCCCATCACCAAATACAGGGTATTCCAGAGTTCATTAGGGGGCTCAGCACCTACTGATAAATTAGTTCTCTCCACCACCTCAAACTGGAATCAGAACTGGCCTGGGAGTCAGGAGATCAAGTTCTACATCCCGGTTGTCCCCAACATCCATGTAACTTTAGGGAAGTTTCTTTCTCTGTCTGGACCTTAATTTCTTCTCTATAATATGGATGCATTTGGACAGAGAGGGGAGCATTTGAAGGGCCTGACTCTCCAGAATCCTTTCTTTCCCCAAGCTTTATTGTCAGACCTCGATAATCCGTATCCTCCTCCTCATTGCTTTCCAATTTCAAAGCACTTTCACACTTGTCATTTGATCCTCATAACCACCCTTTAAGGTAGATAGGTATTATTCCCATTTTCAGATGAAGAAATTGAACCTGAGAGGACTTGCCCAAGTTCATACAGTGGGTAAGTGTTGGAGATGGGACTCAGCTCCAGATCTTCAAATCCTAGATCCTGGGTTCTGCCCACACTATCACACTGTCTTTGCATGTTTAGCCTCTCTCTGGGAACTCAAGAAAGCAATGTCTAGCAGCCTTAGTGCAAACACTATATACCTTTGTTTGGACAAAGCAAGAGAGCAGAGGTGCAGGGATCTAGGGTCTTCTCTGATTGCTCATGAACCTGTCTATACTGGCACAGCAGCAGTCTATGCATAGAAGTATGCCTCTACATTGGTGTGGACACCAAGGCCATTACATTACACATATACATAAAGGTACACTTGACCTCTTCAACAGGTGATATAGGGCAGGATGGTAGAGAAGCTGTGGGAGGCCAGGACTCAGATTCTGTTCTCTAAGTCCACAAGACTTATTACCTCTCTAGTGAGACCTCAAGAAAAAAGGGGCAAGTCCTCAATCCTTAGTATATGGGAGGAATGAGAAGGGAAGAACAGGGAACTAACCTCCCTGCCCTTGCTAAAGCAGAGGCCAGGAAAGGGATTATCGGTGGAACCAGGGCTTTGCTCCTAAGCTTAGAGAGCTGGGCCTAAACCTTAAGGAATATCAGTGAAACCACTTCTGTCAAACCCAGTTCAGCCCTTATGAGTCACAGTGCCTGGGCTCTATAACACTATCAGCTTTGGCAAGTCACTCGCCCTCTATAATTGTTTGCTTATCCAAAATGTGGCTAGTGACTGCTGAGTCTAGCTCAGAGGGGTGCTTGGAGGTTTCCAGTTCGTAAACAAACTGAAATGTCTTTAAATATACTTTATGAACACACCCTTTCATTCTTCCACGGCTGGCAAGGAAGAAGGGCCAAAGCTTGAGCACACTTGGGATGTGACCCACTCACTCCTTTCCAGGCAGCAGGTAATTATGTACAGGTTGGGTAGCAAGAGGGCAGCAAGCCAGACAGAATTGTCTTCAGGAAAGGCTGGGCTGTCCTGGGGTAGAGGGGCTAACGATGCTCACTTACACTTTTTCATTTGACCAACATTTACCAAGCATTTAATATAGGACAAGTGCCATTCTGTGTGAAGATAAGGCAGTGAAGAAAAGAGAAAATGGCCCTGCTGTTACAGAGTTAATCTTCTAGTTGCGGGAGACCTACAAGTAAATAATAAACATGTCAAGCATTGGCAGGTTCTGTGCTGAATTAAACTGGATAAGGTTAGTAGGTGCTGCTTCATACAGGATGTCAGTAGGCCCCTCTGATAGGTAACAGGATGTCTGAGTATAGACATTAAGAAGCGAGAGGAGAGTCTGGGGGACAGCCACCCCTTAGGTCTAGGCTAGTGGACACTAGAATTCTGGAGAGACACAGACACATCCATGGCAACAGAGACAACTACCATGGTGGTTCAGTCTGCCCCCCATTTGGATTTATTCTCCACTCTTCTTTCCTGTTCCCTATAGATTGCATCCCTGGGTCAGCCTTGCCATCTGCCTTTTGGTTATGTTCAGCCAAAGGCCCCAGAAGACTGAACAGGATAAAAGAGAGGTAGGATATGGAAAATCCCACTGTTTGGCCCATTCTGACAGTGGCTGTGTTCTTCTGTACTATGATGTCCATCTGCCATCCATAGCCCCTTCTAGAACACATCCTCCCCACAAAGCCTTGCAAGATTAGCCTTCCAGGGACGCCTGGGTGGCTCAGCGGTTGGGCGCCTTTCGTTGAGGTCGTGATCCTGCGATCTCAGGATCCGGGATCGAGTCCCACATCAGGCTCCCTGCATGGAGCCTGCTTCTCCCTCTGCCTATGTGTCTGCCTCTGTCTCTCACTCTGTCTTTCATGAATAAATACATCTTAAAAAAAAAAAAGAAAAAAAGATTAGCCTTCCAGATGTGCAGTGTACCTACCTGTGAAGGGATGTGTCCACAGACACCAGTTGGACGGCCTCTCTCACCAGGGCAGGAAGAGGAGTTTGGGCACTAGAGATACCCATCAGAGACAAAATGTGGACAGTGGCCTCACTCTCATCCCTCAATGCTCTAGCTTTGTCCAATTTTTCATACTAGTGAAGGTAGGAACAGAAATTGGGGGTCTAGAGTCCCTAGAGCCACTGCCCCAGAGGTAAAACCTTCTCCAAGATCCAGCCTACCAACTTTGTACCTGAAGGAATTCATTGTACCTACCTCCAACATTGAATAGCTCATTACCCAGTTTATTTCCTTGACTGTACATTTATCACTATTGGAAAGAGCATATTATGTGTAGGCCTGCTCTACCTGATTAGAATATATGTGCTATGGAAGCTCAGAACTTGTCTTGCTGTGTGACAGCATCCTAGGCTCAAGTACATAAAAATCCAGTAAATGTTTTTGAGTAAGTGGCAATGGAAAGGAGTAAAAAGCACCCCTGCTCTCTGATACTCCCACAAGGATTGTGACAACTGCTTGGTACCAGGGGTGGGCAGATACGCTCAAAAGTACTGCCCATCTCCTTAGGTGTGTGGGGGGAGAAGCCCTAGAGCAGGACAACCAGGATAACCTAGGAGTCGGAGAATCCCTGGGTTCCACCAAGATTGTTTCCCCCCTTTCTAGAAATCCCCCACTTTTCCACTTCTAAGTAGCTAGAGCAGAACTTACCGGATATAATGTGCAGGTCTCAGGAAAGCACAGGAGTAGGAAGGCTATGAACTCCTTGGCCAAAGGTTCTAAGAAGCTAAGCTCCTTCAGGTCTAAGCAGCAGCTGGAAAACTGCCATCTGGACCTGGGGCTGGAAACTGGGAAGGCAACATCTGTACCAAAGACCCAAAATATGGCTCACCTGGCCATCTCTATTAAGGGACCTAGAAAGTCTTGTAGGTAAGTACTACTGGTTAATTTTCCTCCCAATTAAAGGGCCTTAGACTAGACCCTACAACTAAGATCTGATTCAGGCCAATCAGCCTCTTTGCTTGGTCTTAACTCTTCAGCCCTCATTCTACTTCACCTTTGATGCACTCTACCCCCACCCATGTGTGGCCCAACTGCCACCAGAGCAATCCTTTTGTTCCCCCTTCCCCCAAAAAACCCAAACAGCTCAGAAGTGCATCAATCGACCTTTAATGTCCAAAAGAGGCATGGATGCAGAGCATAGGAGATGTGGTGGGGTCTGAGCCCCTGCTCCAGAAATGAGGGAGAGATGAACACAAACCAGACATTTCCAACTGGCCACACAAGTCTGGGAAGGCAGGGGGAAACACAGATTTGGACATTCATTAAAAAAAAAAAAAAAAAAAAACCTAAAACCAAGCACTCAATCTTGTGCCCACTGAAGGGTTTGATATAGGGAACTCATTCACCATCCCAGTACCCACCCTCCCCTGTCAGCATCAAAGAGAAAGCTCGGCACACACTAAAGGCTTGGGGAGGGGGCATTCTCCTGCCTCCCCAGGCCCCAAGGATGGACTCAGGGGGAAAAAAAGAAAAGAATGAATGAACTGGATCCCAACCACCCCACTCCCAGAGTGCCAACCCTACAGATGAGAGTTTTAAATGCGATTTACAATAATCAGCAGCTCAGTCGGCAATGACTCCCCCGCCCCCCCATCCCTGTTTGATCAATAGACAAGATTTCCCCCTGCACTCTCCTTGGAATCTCCTCCCACTAGGGGCCCTGCTCCATCTCCTGATACCTGGGCTCCACCACTGCAAGACTAATCCCTTCTGAAGTTCCCCCAAAGGTCCTTGCAGTCCTCTATCACTTCCATCCCCACCTCCCACAAGAGGCTGCAACCACCCACAAAGTCACTTTCCCCCACAAAGTCACCCCAAAGTTACTGAGAATCAGTTCCAGGGCAGATGGCATCATGGCCATCTCCTCATGGGGTATCCTCCTAAAGCCTTCTGGGAAGCAGACAGCCATAGGCCAAGTAGTGTCTGGGCCAGATGGCCTAAGGGGCTTGACCACTGTCTTCACCCCCAAAGCAGACACCCCCAGAGGTTTTTAACATAAAGGCCCAATTAGAACTAACCGTGTAGGCTACCTACGCATACACCCTAGAGATTCCACACTGTCCTGCCCCTCCCTCCCCTCTACCCCAAACCAAGACACACACATACATACACACAGATATACAGAGGAGAATCAAGGGAGACATTGATTTGGTTTGATTGCTAAGACTTAACTAAGGAACTACAGTCACCAGAAATTCCCTTGCCAGCCAACTAACAGGGGCTGCTTTAAGAGAACTCCAGAGGAATGAGAAAACCGAGGGCTAAGCAGGGAGCAGACAGAAGGAGAGAAGAATGAATAGAGAAAAATCAAGCTAATCCTACCCCCAACATCCTCCTAGCATGAGCTCTGGCAGGAAGAATAAAAGAAGGTAATCCACAAAGACACAGCCCTTACTTAGAAACTCTTCTGACAAAGACAGCAAGACAAGTCTGCTCCCCACTCCCACACACCACAGACAAACACGTCTCAGGGCCCCTTAAAGAATCCACCCCCCACCCCACCCTACCCTCTGCCCCAAGCCGTGGAATCACAGTTCAGTGGAATATTCTCCCTGGTACTAGATCAATCCCCCACCCTCCTTCCTATCCCTCTCTCCTTGCCAACCCTTATGCTGTCCCCTGTAGCCTCCCTGGACCTCCCAAAGCAGCACCCACCACCAGGAGGAGGTGGCTGCACAGTTTGAGTTCCGCCTCCAGAAACCGATTTCTCTCCCCTAGCCCTCCCGTCTTTCAGGCTTTGTTGAGGGCTTTTTATTATATGTAGGGAGAGAAAGAGAAGAGGGAGGGGTGGGAGAGATTTCCTAGTGCAATACAACCAAAGAAAAAAATTTTAAAAAGTCTTGAAAAATAAACATAAAGCAGCCTTCTTCCCCAGGCAACTAAACAGAAAGAAGTTTGGTTTTGTTTACTGCGACATACACATGAAATCGAGTATACAGTCCATGCAGTAGCACAGCCATTGGAGAGGACATCCTGATGCTGGCCCCAGTGCAAAACAGTCCCAGCAACGCCGCCTGCCATCGCTGCCGCCGCCACTGACACCTTCACTGTGGCCACCTAGCCTGACTTGAAGAGGAGGATTGCAACTTGACCCAAGTAAAAATAGATGAAGTGCTTTGTCTCATGTGTAACATAGCTGCCAAAATTTCGGCCCACGATACAATGCCAGGTAGGGTTGTATTTCTTGTCAAATTCCTAAAACAAGAACAAAAGGGAGAGAAGAAAGGTGATTAGGACAGCTGGAAGATGAGAAATCAGAATAGGAATCTGATTAATTTAGTTATTACTCCCCCTCCCCCTCTAGCCCACGGCCTCAGCTCCCCAAACCTCAGGAGCTCAGGTTAAGGCTGGCTAGGACACTCCTTCCTTCATTAATAATGAACACTGCAAAGGCTCCATTATTTCTCTCTGCCACTTTACACCCCGATCATCTCTCTTCCTCCTCCTCCTAGCTATCCTGACTCCACAGCCTACCCTGTGATTCTTTAGCAAAGGAGTTGGGGAAGCCAGGGGCAGAAGAGACCACTCCAGAGTCACACAGCATGAGGAAAGCAGAGGAGGATCAAGCCTCCCTGACTTGCCACCTGCTGCCTCCCACATTACTAAACCTGCATTTTCAAATGCCAAAACCAAGACACTGGAGCCAAATGTCAGGAGTACCAGGAAACAGTTCTTTGTAAGTCAACATTAAAGGCACTCCTGTGTGCCAGGCACTGTGTGAGCTGTAAGAAGCAGAACAAGGACATCAGCCATGAGATCAGGGTAATTCCCTCACTTCTCTCAGGAGCACAAGTTCAGCATCAAAGCAACCTAGGAAATCCTTGTGACTTAATCAGACAGGCAGTTCCCTGTCACTCCATGGATGCAGCAGGAAACAGATGGCTCAGCAGATGCACCCTGCCATGCAACAGCCCTCCACCATGGACCCAGCAAAGCTGCCAACCCTGGGACTGTCCCCCAGGTGCTCAACATACAACTTGTTTGGCCTCCGCACAGACCCTACACCAAGGAACTCCAAGAAGTATTAGGGAGCAGTGGAAAGGGGATGGGTCACCAAATCCAGCCTTAATGTTGACTCTCAAGACTGTATAATATAGGAGGGCCACAGTCACTTCCCTGGGTCTCATTTTCCCCATCAGCAAAACAAAGAAGCTTGACCAGATACAATCTAAAGATTCTTCGGAGAGTCCATGATTCCAAATACTCTCCCTGTAAGGACAGATAAGGCCATCAATTAGGAAGGAGTCAGCACCCCCAGAATCCTTACGGGCTCTGCACCCACTGGCTCCTTATTCAGAAAGTCTCTCAGGACTCTAGAGTTTCCTTTTCTCATCCCACCCTGCCTAAGTAGGAAAACAGAAGTCTGTAAAACTTAAGGATGCCCTACCACCTCTATGGACCATAATACCACTAACATTTAGGCTTCCCTTTGGGATAGAGCTAAAAACATCAAAGACTGGAATTATGCCACTAGTAGACATGAATTTTGACTGGGAATCAGAGGCCCTGGGTACCACTTCCCATTTCTAGCTCAGCTGCTTCCTCACTGTGTAAACCATATTCATTCACCCATTCACTCAGGAATTTTTCAGGGATTAAACCTATTACCCCAATATTGCTCATCCATTTTAAGCAAATTATATATTCCAGCCTACCCTTTTCTTAAGAAGGTGGGGGAGGAGATGATGCAAGATTTTTTTTTTTTTTAAGAGAAAGAAAAGGAAACCTCCTGCATGATAAGGGTTATAATGGGGATATCCCACTTTAAATGATGCAGTTCCCTGAAAAATTTGTATATAATCTTATCTGTTCAAATATCCCTGATCTACATTTTGAATAGTTCTGAATTGAGCCAGTTATATTTGTTCCTAAACTTCTCTCCCCAATGCCTTAGTCACATAATTATCTGTAAACATACATAAGCACACAAGCACACCTGAACTGAGTTCCTATTAAGAACTCCTAAGATGAATGCTTTGGCAAGAATCACTCCCTAATTTGTCTGCTTTGCAAGCTCCTGGCTTTTGTTTGCATGGGATATACCCGCTTTCCTAAATTCCCAGTTTAGGCCTCCCTGAGGGCACAGCTCAGATGCCCATCCCCACCCCTGACCAAAAGCCACAGCTCTCTTGGTGCACCTTCTTGATATAAGCAGCAATGTCCTTCTCTATGTTGTACTTCTCCATAGCCTGCGTGGCGCAGTCAACGGCATCCTGTTGCATGTCCTCAGACATGTCTGCGTTCTTGATCACTGCCTTCCGGTCAGACATCGTGACACTGCAGAAGAAGCAGAGAGGTGAAGCTGACACCCCCAATGCTCTAAGAAATGAACAATAATAGCTGAGTGTGGAGCCTCAGTGGGAGAGCTGAAAACAGAAGGTGAGAGCAACAGAAAACAGACGTGAGGCATTATTAGGAGGGGGAGGTTTTAAGCTTTTAGCTGAGACCTGGTCCCCAAATCTGGGAAATACAAGATGGATGGGGAAAAAAGACATAAAGAGCCATCAACTTTCTTTTATCATTTATGAGGTTTTTCCAATTCTAAATTTATCTATTTCTGATATTTTGAATAGCACCAATTGCCAAAATATTACAATACATCACCTACTAGTTGTGCCTTTGGGCAAGTTACTTAACCTTTGTGCTTTTATACCATCATCTTAAAATGGAGACTTTGCCCTACTGAGGGCAAAGCAGGTGGCATTAACACCTGAACACAATAAGCCCTTGATTTAATGACCATTACTGTATCATTGGTATCACAGTGGAAAGAAGATGGACTAGGAATCAGGAGGCCTGACTTCTGGTCCTGACTATGAACTCTCGCAGTCTTGGACAAGACACTCAGCCTTACTGCATTCATTACTTCCATTTTAGCAACAAGGCTAGCTCTCTATCAGGGGTTTGTTATAAGATTAATTAAGGTTATATGAGAACATCTGCAAACAAGGACAGTCTACGCTGGAGTCTGCTGGCCAGATTCAGCCCTCCACCTGTTTCTGCAAAATAAAGTTTTATAGGAACAGGCTACAATGGCAGAGTTGAGTAGTTGCATGAGAATGCATGGCCCATAAAGCCTAAAATATTTACTATCTGGCCTTGCACAGAAAAAGGTTACCAATGCCCAATGGTGACAGAGATAACAAAAGGTGAGGAATTACTATTTTAAGAGCCCTGTTTCATATCCCGGCTATCTAAGCCACGGCATTCATCCTACAGTAAACAGAATTCTGGGGAAGATCTTGCATAGTCCATCCATACCTGGGATGACAGGAATCCCAAGAAGGCTGGTCAGAACCTGTTGAGCAGTCTATAGCTTCCAAGTGCTTTGCAAGAACAGAGAAGAGGAGCTACAAAAACCAATCCTCTGTCCTTGATCACAGTTCCATCACACAGATCCCCCACAAACTCCCCCCCCCCAAAAGACTCTGTCACCCAGCCCAGGGGGCAGATGTCGTCATTCCAGTCCTGTCTGATATTAAGGCTACACGAAGGCCTGCCTGCTTAAGGAGAGATTCCCGGTATCATTCCAGGCCACTCTGATCTCTTGAGTCCACACTAGCCTGTGGGCTGAGTGAACCGAAAGGGAAAGCAGAACTCATGATTACTCCTTTAGCCTGCACCAGATGCAAAGAAAGCATACGTGCCAGCTGCCAGCCACACAGCCCTTGACCGCACCCAAGGCACCTCAAACTAAGCAGGGCTGGTTCTATTTCAGCATCCTCTGACCTCACAACCCTGAAAGGAAAAGTCAGGGCTTCAAGGAGTATGTGAGCACCACCTGGTGCTGAAGAAAGGTCAGGAGAACCTTGTTGTTCAAGGCCTCACTAGCTACATGACCTTGGGCAAAGCAACATCTGCATTTTAAGAATCAATGTCAAGTTGAAATAAGATAAATGAGGCAACTTCAATGAGTTTGAGCAGATATATAATCAGCAAGCAATGTTCTGATTATAAAACTCTATATTTGACGAAAACTAGTGTCACCTGGTGGCCTATTCCAGGTTACCACTCAGAAGGGGGCACTGTTTACAAACGCAAGGGTGGGGGTGGGGCCTGGTTAGAGACAGTGAAGTTAAAGCTGAAATTGGCAGCGGTTTTCCCAGCAAGCTCACCTGCTCCACTGCCTTATCCCCGAAGTCCAAGGGAACAACTTTGTCACAGTAATTAAAAGCCACCTTACTCTCTACTAGGAGAGCGCCTGCGGTTACATAACGCTGGTCTTGTGACTACAATGCTACGATTCTTTACCCCAGGCCCCCCAGGCGTCCGAGAAGTGAGGCCTAGCCCCAATCTGCCCTGTCCAAGGTGCCAGTGAGAAAGAGATAGGGAGGTGCCCGGTCTACCCCTTCCCTCCTGAGAAAAAAAAAGGACCTGGGCCTCCAAAGAGAAGGATGACCAGAGGGCCCCAGGCCAGCTGCCTCAATTAAAAGGCAGGGGCTCCTTGGAAAAGCCAAGAGGGCACTCCAGGACAGCTCCCCTTCCTTCCCTGATCCCGGATTTGGGGACAGAAAAGGCCAAGCCTCAGAGACCTGGACCATCCTCCCCAGCCCCCAACACACACAAACGCTGGTATTTCCTCCCTTGAGATCTCCAAGGGGGCTTATCCCTCCACCATGCCAACCTCCAGAGAGAGCTGCGGCCCCCAAAGAACGGCACCTGGGGGCATGAGAAAGCATCCTCTCCCCACCTCCGCTCCGGCCGGTCAGCCGCCCTCCCCCCCCCCACCCCCCCCCACCCCGGCCTGGAGCAGCGCCGGAGTGACTGGGCGTCCTCGCTGCAGGAAGGACGCCCCAGAGGGTGGCGGCGGCAGGAGGCGCCGCGTCACGCCCGAGCCCTCTCCACCCCCTCTCCCTCGGCCCCAAACACCAGAGGCGGCCTCCACGCAGCGCAAGGAGACTCCCGGGGCGGGGGGGGGGGGGGGAGCCGCACCTCCGCAGCCCGGGGCCTCCGGCCGCGCCCGGGGGTCGCGAGGGCACAGGGTGGCGCAGCCCCAGGAAGGAGGGGCCCCGAGGGGCGTCACGCAGAAGCCGGCCCCGCGCGTGGCGCCGCACGCGATCCGCGCGGGCCGCCGCCCCGGGGACGCCCCCACCCACCGCTCACCTTCACGGAGACTAGTCCGCGCGGGGCCCCGGGGGAGCAGCGATGGCCTGAGGCAGGGCGCGGGCAGGGGCGGTGTCCCCTCGGCTTCTCCTGCAGCAGCAGCCGCCGCCGCCGCGGTCTCCGGCTCCCGCAGCCCCGGGCCGATGGCTTGCCGCTGCCGTCCGCCCTCCGAGCTTCCCCGACCGCCCGCGCTCCGCCTCGCGCCCGCCGGCCCGCCCGCCTGCTCCTCGCTGGCGCCTCGCAGCTCCGCTCCGCTCTGCCGCTGAGCACGGCCGACGCGCGGCCCCCCCTGAAATAGCGCCCCGCCCCCGCCCCCCCGCCGCGCGCGCTGCCGTCCGCGCTCCCCATTGGCTGCGCCCGCCCGGCCCCGCACTGCGGGCTTCTCCCCGCGCCGCTCTCGCCCCACATCTTGTTTCCTCCCACAATGCCTCGGGGCGGAGGGGGGGGGAGCTGAAAAGGGTGGGGGGGAGGGAGCTGTGGCCTTAAGGAGAGAAAGGAGACGAAGAATGCAGACCCCTCCACCTCGGGCTAGGAGGCCAGGCCTAAAAAGGAATAAAGAGGCGAGGCTTAAAGAGAGGGAGGGCGTTAAAGACCCCAATCCCTAGAAGAATAATCGGAGAGAGAGGGATGGAGATTAAGGACCCAGGGAACAGATGGGGAAGGGGTAGAGATCCTAACCTGAGGAGGAGGGAGGGGAGGGAGGTGAAGTCATCAGCCTCAGAGGAAAAGACAGGACCCCCTCCCTCCCCCCAGATCTGTAGGAAGGAACAGCCCGCTGCGGAGAGGTAAAGGCACAACAGCCCCAGGGCTCCCCTCCCCTTACATTCGGGAGAAGTCCCTTCCCCACGCAGCTCTGCCTTTGTTCCGAGTCTCAAGGCCACAGGACCTCCACTCCCAGCTGGAGCCCCAGCTGCTCTTTATCACCAGGAGCAAGATGGAGGCAGACCCAAGGCACAGTTGGGAGAGGGGAGGTTGGTCGTCGGCACGCAGGCTCCTGGGGTAGAGGCGACAGAGAGCCGTTTCTGGCCGGTCCAGACCGGAGGGGGCGTGCCTAGAACCCCGGAGAGGTGCGAACCAGAGTCGGGCAGAGCTGTGGGGAGCCTGAAAGCTCAGCCCTTCCGTAGTCCTCACCTTACCGAGGAGAGAACCAAAGCACGGAGAGGGCAGGCCTGGTTCTGGGTTCGAGGCTGAAAAGTGGTGCTTGGAGGCAGCGGCCCCCGCGGTGGCCCAGGAGGCTCTGTGGGAGTGTGTGTGATGCCTGTGCACGTAGGGGAGTGCCGGCCCTCCACTGCACCCCACCCACCTCCAGAGAACAGGAAATGTCTGCCTTTTTTTCTTCCCTTCGGTTTCACAAAGGAAGTGTCTACCTAAAGGGGTGGTGAGAATCTTCACAGGGAGCCATGCAATTGGGCCACAACAGTGAGAATTAAGAAGCTCCCCTTCTCATCGGTTTCCCCTTACTGGCCCAAACCTTGGTCAGGAAGTCGGACTTGCCCTGGCGGTGGTACCCATAATTTAATATTCGTTATGTGTCAGGGGAAGCCTGGAAAATCATGCCCTCCTACTTCTGCTTTCCACAGCTCTGTCATTTCCCAGCCTCAGCGAACATTTCAGAGAAATAGGCAAGGCCTGATGTATCCCTTCACACTTAGGGTATTCTGATGTCAGCCACATTGTGAATGAATGGGGGGCGGGGCACTTGTGGGCAGAGACGAGGGGTTGAAGGAGGACGCTCTATCACCTCAAGGCTTGTGGAGAGCTGATTTCATGGACTACTGGGAAGAGAAGTCGTACCCTCTTTCTCCAATGATCATTAGCTTCCAGCCCCTTCTATGGCCTGAAGGTCAGAACTGCCATGTATGGTTGTGCAGGTTGTTCACTCTACAATGACATCCAGCCCAAAGAGCAACCAGGGGCTAAAATAAAGCCTGCACATTACTTGCTAAGTTGTGTGCCCTGGTACAGGCCAGTGCTCACCCATAAGATGCATACTTTCTTCAAGTGTGCATAAAAGTGACTGAACTAGTGGTGGCCCTTCCAAGGCCATACTGCCGGCATATAAATCGGCTCTGGGATATTGGGAAGACTTACTAATAGTATGGTTTATAAATGATAATTCATATTTATAAAGTCCTCTGTGTCAGGCTCCCGTCTAAATGTTTTAGATGTATTGTTGCATTTAAATCTGGAACAATTGCAGCGAATGTGTATTACCATCTTCCTGTACAGATTTGGAAACTACCTCTTAGAGAAGTTCAGTAACACGCTCAAGATTACCCAGTTTTTGTCAGAGCAGGATTTAGCCCCAGGCTGTCTGTTCCCAGGACCTATTCTCTAAGCCATTCCACTATCCTGCCTTCTAACAGAGAAAAGAAAAAAAGTGTAGACCGGGGGTTTGGCTCTCTATATGAATTATACCAGCATTTCATAAACGTATCTGACTCTGAAGTTCCCTCCCCTTTTTTAAGATTTCATTTATTTGAGAGAGAGTGAATGAGAGCACAAGCAAGGGGAGGGGCAGAGGGAGAGAGAGAAGCAGGCTTCCAGCTGAGCAGGGAGTCCAATGCAGGACTCCATCCCAGAACCCCGGGATCATGACCTGACCCAAGGCAGATGCTTAACCCACTGAGCCACCCAGGCACCCCAAAGCCTTTTTTTATCCAAACATTTATTAACATCTCAGGGAACTACTATTCCATAGGATACAGTTTGAGAAACGTGTGCTATGCTAATTACTGCTATTTACGTGAAATGCTTATTGTTTAATTACCATGCAATGTTAGTAACAGTAGTAATTAATATGTCGGCTTAACTTGGTGGACCTTTTTATTTGATGCCACTACAAATTCATGATTGCCCAGTTATCTGTTGTTGCCCAGATGGCAGAAACATGTCTTCAGATTTATAAATCAGAAAGGACTTTCGTTCTTGTCTTATCGGTGGGCCCCATACCCTCTGCCTCCTTCTTTAACCGAACAGTTCTCCAGGGCATTGAGCTTTGGTCACTGTTCAACTTTACTTTTATTCACGTTCATGGTTTTTTACCATAATTCAGTCCTGGTGGCCCCCCTAAATCTCAGACCTCTCTACTGTGAGTATTCCACAGGCTTCTCTGACTCTTCACATACACACATATAAAGTCTGGTCATTAGAAGCACTAGCCCTGGAGCCAGAATGTCTGGATTCAAAGCTCTTGTCACCTCTCTACCAGCTGTGCAGAACTGGTCAAGCTATTCATCATCTCAAAATTTCATTTTCCTCATCTATAAATCAAGAATAATATCTATTTCATAGTTATGAGAAAATGCATTAAAAACTCAGCGTAAAAAAAAACCTCTTGGCATGATGCCTCATCCATAAATGTGATTAATAAATGTTAGCCATCATCATTTCTTTTCCAGACTTGTTTCCCTTCCCTGTATTTCTTACCTCGGTTCGTGGCCCCATTATCCACCCAGGGACCAAGTCAGGAACCTGCGAACCCTCTTGCCCACCCTGTGTCTATCATCACTCAGCTCTTAGTTATTTCTACAGCCCCCATTCCCTTTCACTGTGAATACCCTGCATGGGGAACTCATCTCTTCTAGTTGGTTCCCTGCCTGCAATCCCAGTACCTCCTCCCCAATCCACACTGAATTGATCCATCTAAAATGCAAATCTCCCAGGCACTTCCCTCTTCCCTACTCAGAAAAACAAAACAATACAAAAACTGCTCTTTCCCATAACTTCCCTCCCCCATCTCACCCTCTACATCCCCCCACCTCCTCCTTATCTCTCCACACTTCCCAGCTCCCTCTTTGTGCTCTAGTAATGTGGGCTACTGCCTACGAATTTCCCCCACACCCAGATTCCACACCTTTGTTCATGTGGTTCCCTTGCCTGTGAGGCTTGTGGTTTTCTTTGCTGGCTAATGCCTTGGTTTGAGTGTCCTCTGTCAAGCCTTCCCAAATCTCAGGTTTTTATCACTAACCACATTCTATAAAACTTGTAGGCTTAAGTTTGTCTGTAGTTCCTTGCAGGCAGAGGTTACATCTTATTTATATGTGGGCTGTAGAACCTAGCATAGTTCTTAGAACATGGGAAGTTCTCTGTAAGTATTAGTTAAATTAATTATGCTGATTAGGGTAGGACCTGTGGGATTCCCACAGTGGAGAGGTCAGGACTTAGGGGACCATCAGAGCCTACATGGTGATAACAACCATGAATGTGAATGAAACTACTACAAGGCTGAAAACTATGGGTTCAAAAGACACTTCATCCCTTCCTCCATCCAAAGAACCACATTAGGGCTCTTCTCTTTTACTAGAACTGGCAACACATGCTATTTACACTGGGGCCTTCCCACTCAGAGCAAGTTGCTGGCTGAGGTAAATCATAGTCCATGCTGGGGAACACCCAGGCCTGACTCTTGGATGAATTTTTCTCCTTATACTCCCTGCTGGGTAGTTGGCTGATATCCTGACCCTTACAGGTAGACAGTCAAAGACTCTCCACCCCAGGTGACTGGGTCACCCAGAAGAAAGAGAGGATGGCACTGACAAAAGTCATTTCACTAAGCCCTTCAGGTGTTGACTTGCTTCAAAGACTCCAGAAGGATGGAGAAGGGTAGTTACATACATATACCCTGACAGTACAGTGTAAACCCTAGTGCCAGTCCCCTCTGCCAAGTCTCCAGGGGCGTGGGGGGGAACCCAAGGAAGAAAGTAATGTGATAAGAAGTAGCGGAATCTGCCCTAATTCCTCACTGATTTCTTGAGTGGCCTCATAAAATATACTTCCCTAGGCAACTAGTTACCACACCCTAATTATCACCTTTCCTACTTCCCAAGTCTCCTGAAAACTGGAGGAACCAGCCATGGTCAACAATGTGCTGACAACTAGTGAGATGAGCACTGGTCTGGGAGTCAGAGAATTCCTGAACCAATTTGGCCCTAGTCAAATAATTTCGTTCCTTAGAATCTAGATTTCTGTATCTAGAAAACGTAGGACTGAATAATCTATAAGGTCTGTCAGCCCCTAAATCTATGATTTTCTGATTCCAATACCCTATCACAAAGTATATCTTACCTGTGGGTTAGAGAAATTTCTCTACATGTAGCCAAGCTTAAATACCTCTTTTCTGATCCTTCTCTCTGATCCACTTAGAATTCGGAGAGCATTTCTCTACCCTCCCATCACTCAACACAGCTGGGATATCATTCTGTTCAGCTGTGTATTCTCTCAAAGTGCCTTGACATAGTTAAGATTCAATGAATGTTTGAGCTTCA